TCATCACGAGGTGGAGTTTGAGAAAGTACAAGCCTTTAGTGTCTCCCTATGTACCCTGCTGGTGAGACTTTGCATTTTTGATTGCCCTGATACAAAAGACAAACTATCTCTCAATAAAGTAGAGAAAAAAGGTAGCTAAGAAATTGCCCTTGCTCTACAGCCTGCTGGCACGTGGCCATTCATTAATTTAGGACACTAAGAGAATTGCTGGCTAGCTCTGTGCATGCAGCGGGCACAGCTTTCAGTAACAACTCTGCACCTGATTCAGAAGTGATGTGCTGAATGCTACAAAAAGTTTATAGAGTACATAAAGTCTTTATAAGATAGAAACCTCTGTGATTGTCTCCCTCTTTTAGTCCATGATTTCACCAAAATATAGTTTAAGGAGTTTTTAAGGAGGAAACAAACTGACACGATATTAAGAGAATGACAATTAAGATAAAAAAATTCTTTGAAACAGTTTTGATGTAGGCAATTTCGTTAGGCAAAGGGATGGATCAGGTAACTTCTCACCATCTCTTTCAGCCCCATCTCTTGTGCTTTCAAAAAGATTTATGAAGTTTTTAAAAAGCAAAAAGCAAAAAGTTAACGGAAGGACCAAAATGCCACCTCAGCATCCTCCGAAAATGAACGTAGCTCTTAGGGTCCTGGCAAGCAGGTTCTCATGAGCCTCGACGCAGCACTTTAAGACATTATTGCTCCAGCTCTTTATTTTGCTCCTCTCTCAGAAATTACAGCTCCTTATAACGGGGTTAACAGAAGAGAACATGTGCCTGCTCTCTGGCTGCCCCAGTTCACAGCCTGGTATATTAATACAGTCTACCAGTGACAGTTAGCTCATGCTAATATGCCTCACAATAAGCGTGATTAACCGATGTACTGACACATTCCCTCCTGCCGCGTTGTTACAGGGGCAGTAACATCCAGCAAACAGCTCGGCAGAAATGCTGTAATGCACTGCAGGAAGATTTTTCAGAGGACGCTGGTCAGACCCTTTGTAACAAGGGGGCTGCACATTTCAGCTGCTCATAAAAGTTAGAAAAACCTTATTCTGGTGGAAAGAATAGATCTAAAGAAAATAAAATACTTAATTCCAACAGAATTTTCCTTAAAATAAAACCACACAATATGAAAAAGATTAGACGATACATAAACCTACAAAATGAGAAAAACTGAGATAATGGGAAACTCTAAGCTCTGCAGTTTTCTTAAAGAATTATTAAATTTAATTTTGTCTCCCATGCCACAAAAAAAAATCCTATATGCTAATGTAAGCAATGTATAAGCATTAATATAATACTTTTTTTAAGACAAAAAATTGGAAGAACCGTTTTCCAAGTTGGAACAACTCTGCATGACTGAATCCATCTCCTCTTTCACAGAGTTTTGGATTTTTGAAATACCAAGCCTAGCCAGACCAAAACTAATTCTGAAAATGTCAAAGCAGTACATAAAGCTTTTCACTCTGCAGAATACTTAATGTGCCACCTATACAGCAGTTACCTGTATGTGAACTCCCTGTCACTTTGGATATCCAAATATACTCACTTATTAAGTGGAAAGGTAGCAAGCAAACCACAGCTCCAGTCCCACTTCAACACAAGGGAGAAACACCTTACGGCTGCAGGACGTGCATCCATCAGCCAGACAGCACAGCCCTGCACCAGGCCAAACGACCCACAACACCCACTGGCCCATCTCCCAAGCTCCAGGCTTTCAACACTCATCCTTTGAAGAACCATAAAACCGACAGCGGTTTTTTTTCAGTGTATGTATTCGGTGGCAAGCACATACTGTGAAGGCAGCCCTTCCTGTTCACGCTCCAGTACTTGATATTTCCAACTTCCTGTAACTATTCACACTTCCTAAGAACAGTTTGCGGTGGACTTGTATTCAGTGAAGTTCACATAGGCTTAAAAAATAGCAATAATAACCAGCTTATACTTGCCTGATAAGCTGACATTTACAGGTAGTGATGCAGTAGGCTGCTGGTAAGTCCCTGGTTTAGAAATATTGACTTATTCTGTGCTTTCCTAACTATCTCCAAGGGTATTACCAGATCTGCAACATAACAGCGCGTGGGGTTTTGTTGTTGGTTTTGTTTTCTGGGTTGGTTGTGGGGTTTTTTGTTTGTGGGGCTTTTTTGTTTGAACAACTACTTTCTATTTTTGTATACGTCCATATCAGCTTATTGATCTAAGGGTTGTCACCAGTAAAACCAAAGCAGAATTAGGGCAACAGTTCATTATTTTAAGAGTTCTGATGGTTTATAAAGAACACAAAAGGTTTCTAAAAACAATTTCAAAAGTGTAAACGTATTTGCTAGGTTGTGAAGACCACCCAATCCAAGGACATCAAAAGTATAATCTAACGGACTATGCAGACAAGTGCTAAGGGTCCTAGAAGAGCACGCCACTTGCAAAAAAAGCAACAACTCTGAAAACGTGTTAGCTACACATCTGGTTTTTGGTTTTCTTTCCACAGACAGTCAGTCTGCACATTTGAGATCAGACATGCTATGTTCACCCTGCCAGCGATAAGACACTGTCCACTGATAAGAAGATAAGGATTACTCTCTGCTGCTACAAATGCTTCAAGGTGCATTTTTGCGTGTCATTGGTTTTGAGTAAGAATTTAAACATAAGATTTTGAGATAAATAAGACTGCACACACGAGTTCTTCATTGAAATCCAAGTCCACCTATGATCTTGCTATTTTTGTATTTCTTCTTCACCCATAGTTCCATTGCCGTCCTAATCAGAGTTCCTGTTTAAGGCTGAGAAGCCACCACACAAGGCACAAAACATGCAGATACAAAAACGCCTTTGATTTGAGCTACAACTAAAGCATCGCACCAACCTGATTTCCATCCCCACTTAAAATGTCCTTCACTCAAGTGCACTAGTCCTTCTACCTCTAAATGGCTGGCATCGGAATGGTTGCAAGATAAAGCCTGGGTGAGTGCAAGCCAGCAGTCGCTAACACGACAGCACAACCAGCCGCACCGATGCAAGTTCTAGCACTGCGTACAGGGTACCAATCTTTCAGGAATCTCCCACAATTCCTCCCCTTATGCAAAATAAAATACAAGTTTTTTGCCTTTTATGCTGCAAAGGCATAACCACAAACCTTACCAAAGGAGGACAGGATGCGCTCCCAGGCATCCCGGTCCAGAACTCAAGAGAGGGTACAGCCTGTGGGGACGCAGAAACATGAAGTTTATTTACAGGATGGCTGCTCATATTTAAGACAGGCACACTCAAGAGAATTATCTTGAGTAGCAATGATCCGGGTTATGCCCAACATACCTGTCCCCCCAAAGAGTTTACCATCTAAATCAGGATATTTTCAACACTGCTTTTGAGCATGCAGATTTTAAATAGTCTAGAATGAAGGCACCCTTCATTTTTTTTATTAAATGGGTTAATATCTCTTCACCCGAACGTCTGCTTTCCTGCAGAGTTACTAAACTGTCTGACTTTCAGGTGAATGCACTGTGAACGAAGGACTGCTCCACTTCCACTTACCTAAATTCTGCCAGACCAGTAAACACCCAAGCAGTGGATACAATCTTTACAATCCACAATGAAGAGCCCGATCTGACTGAAAACCAATGAAGACGGCAACAGCTGAACCGCTAGACTGTACCAAAACAAAACTACACCATAGTACTCGGTACCTACCACTCCAAGGGACCGATCGCTTGCTTTCAGTTTCTTTGAACTCGGCCTCTATCCACATTTGTAGATAACACATTAAAGACAGAGATAGATGCACACAAAAATAACCATGCCAGCTAGAGCTAAGGAAAGGTGCAAAGTCAATACTTAGTTGAGGTTTGACAGAGCGCACCCAAACCAAACGCACTTCCCGCTACGAGCAATCAACTAACCCCTGCCAGTGCCCGGCCCAAAGCAGATCAAAGCCACGCCAGCCCACAGGTACCCCAGAAACGAGTCCATCTCACCCGTCTGTTCCGAGGAATACGCTGACCTCATCCCGCTATGGGAGCTGCAGGATGGCAAGGAACAGCCACAGGCAGAAACCTCTAATCCAGCAACCCAGAGAGAACACAACAGCAGCATTTCATTACTCACTTGAATTCTACAAACGGAATATCAGATCCCCAGATGAGAAACACACCACTCATCATTAAATAGTAAATTTGGTGTCTATCAGAACGACTTGGTCTCCAGGAGTATCTAGCTGCATGCTACAACTGCTACCAAGGACACAATCAAAGGGGCTTTGCAGGCTCTTCTTCCACCAGCAAACAGTGCCAAAGGTGAGAGAGAGCACTGATAATTCTATTTTTTTTTCCTCCAGATTTTCTTTTGCTGTACATCTAGAACAAATATAAAGGCTTCCTGACAGCATCTAGAACTGCAGTTCAAAGTACCCAAAAATCTCATGCACATAAGAGTTTAGGAATCGACACTGATACGGAAATTCGAACATTTCCTAAAAAATACAACCAAAACTTTCCAAGACAGAGATCCCCAGCACCAGATTGCCTGTCCCCAGGGAACAGCAAAGTATGCAGATAATTAAGCTTACTTGAGTTTACAACTCGTAACCTTCATGTCACTTTATGGAAACAAACTATATTTAACGGAAAAAAAAAGGAAGAAAATATTTACATTTTGACAACATACAACTTGTTCACATGAACGACCACCAAACAAGTTCCCATATGTTATCAGGAGGAGGTTTACAGTATGATGTGACCTAGTGTACAAATCCAAGGCTTTCAAAGTATGGCTCACATCCCGCTGTCAGCACTCCGCAGCCCCCAAACCCATTCAGCTTCTCTGCAACTGTTTTCCCTGAAGTATTTTTAGCATCCATCTGAAAATATATGGTTTGCCCTCTGGGAAGAAGCTAATTGCACCATCACCTTTGTTCCACACTGTTTCATTTTCCTCCTCTGTCCTTTTCAGCTACTGGGTTCTGATCTCCCTTCTTCTCCTCCATTTCTTGAACTCCTTCTTCCACTGCCACTTCCTTCTTCCCTAATCCTCGACATCCTTGTTTCCATGGTCATGCTTAGCCATGTTACCACCTTAGTCTTCCTCTGCCTAGTGTACTCACAATCTCTCTACCTCATCCCCTTGTCACCAGGGTTCTTCCCATTCTCGCTTTTGACTGATTGCTTTTCTGTCGTTGGTGTGACTCTACCTCTAAGGGCAGGTCCTGTACCCTCCTTTACAACAGTAACAGTCCTAGCAGGCTCCTTCACTCCAATTGCTCCTATCAGGTGGTCAAACATTAACCGTAGACATCACCAGAAATAAAGTAACTTATGAGGCTGTGACTTGCCAGCTCCCTGAAGATCACAACAAGATCTTCACGATGGACATAAAACCTAGGAGCCGTTGTGCAGCCATAGACTCGGTATTCTGAGCTGAAGGAAGAGGATGTCCAATACCCTGTGATCCCTGCAGCAGGCATACAGTTGTACGGATTCATGCCTCTGCATTTCTTGCAGCTCTTTTTATTCCATGTAGCATAGTGTGAAGGTGGGGAAGAAGTCCCCCATCACCAACTTCATGAAAACGCAGACTGAAAGAATGCACACCGCACTCTGAACCTGCCCTTCTCATTTTGGGAGCAGGAGATATGGGTAATTTTTACAACCTTTTTTGCTGTATGCAGACGACACCCTAAAATGATACAGGTAGATAGTTCGGCAGACATATTTTGTTCACGAGGAGCAATCCCAAACTTTTTTCTTTTACGAAGGATAGTGAACACCCAATCAATTCCCACCTGTTACACATCCATCGCTAGCCCATCCTCACAGAGACAACGCTCACTCTGAATCCACCTCATTATCCCTACTGCAAAGAGAGAACTGAATATCATCGCCTCAACTTCCAAACCAAACAACTTATCAGAGGCCACGTTCACACAGCACAAGCTCCAGGAGGCCGCGTATCCTTGGGAGAACGCAGCAAAACAATAATTTTTGCTTAGGGAAGACACATTCCAGCAATAAGCCTTCATCGAGGCAGCGGCTCCAGCAATGGAGGCCATACGCGCCAAGAGGCAACACACACGCGTCTCCGTCACGGAGGAATCGCACCCGAGCGGTGTAAGGAACGGTGGGAACGGGACAAGGGCTTCTCGTGATTTTCGTGTCACATTTCCCATGGGGCAAGATTTCTCACACGCACATGTAACACATTCCCCTAGCCTGCCTGCGGGCAACTCCTCAAAGACACCCACCCCGAGGAGGGAGCCCACTCGAGCTGCCCCTGGCAGGCCGGCACCGCGCGAGGCGCGCACCGGCGGGGCTTGGTCCTTGGCAGGGTTTCGGTCCTCGGGAAGCGCCATGCAGCGTGGCGCCCGGCTCTTCACGACGCCTCCCTCTGCAGGCGACCGAGGAGCCCCCCAGGACTCCTCAGGGGGT